ATGCGACTGCTCACAACCCACTGACTGACACCCAGCCCGTTCCCAGGTGGCGATCCCGGAATACCAAGACCTGGAAGTGAGACAGAACCCCCCTTCCCAACCACCCCTCCTTTATATACAGAGCATGTTGTTACATGATCTGGACTATTCCATGGCCTAATCTGAGGATGGGGCTCTGCTATGTCCCCTCCTAATTTCTTGTGCACCTGCGCACGGAGAGGACATGGGGAGTTGGAGACACCTTGATCTCTTGGCAATAACATCAGTGTGTTATCAGCATTCTCCTCATCCCCAATCCCACACTGAAACCAAAACACAGCACTATTCAAGCTTCTAAGAAGAAAAATTAACTCCATCCCAGCCAAAACCAGGACAGGGTATTGCCTCTTTCACCCCTTCCCTGGGTAAAGGAGTATTCTGGGTGCAGTGTGCGTGCACCCCATTCACCCCCACTCAAGAAGGGAACAGGATGAGGACGTTGGTGAGTGCAGAGGGTTTCTGTCTGTTGAGCTGTGCAGCCAGCTGTGGGTGTTTGAGTGTGCGTGCTGTGCAGGGTGTTGTGTGGGTGCCTGCTGGGAGCACCCTAGGCCTCGCCACTGCCTGGACCCGGGGCAGGGGCCTGCAGCAGACTCATGTCAGTGGGGCTGTCAGATTCAGCAACACCTTGAAATGAGGTGCCATAAGACAGAGGCATGGAGACAGGAATACACCATAATATCACAGAACCATCCCGGTTGGAAAAGCCCTTGCAGCTCCTCCAGCCCCACCATGACCCTCCCCCTGACCGTTCCCAACTCCCCCAGATCCCTCAGCGCTGGCTCAGCCCGACTCTTCAACCCCTCCAGGGATCCCGGGGACTCCCCCCTGCCCTGGGCAGCCCATTCCAACGCCCAACAGCCCCTTCTGCACAGAAATCCTTCCTCAGAGCCAGCCTGACCCTGCCCTGGGCAGCTTGAGGCCATTCCCTCGGGGCCTGGCACTGGGGCCTTGGCTCCAGAGACTCATCCCCCCTCTCTGCCCCCTCCTGGCAGGGAGTTGCCGAGGGCCAGGAGGTCTCCCCTCAGCCTCCTCTTCTCCAGACTGAACCCCCCCAGTTCCCCCAGCCGCTCCCCAGCAGACCTGTGCTCCAGACCCTGCCCCAGCTCCGTTGCCCTTCTCTGGCCACGCTCGAGTCCTTCAATGGCCTTTTTGGGGTGAGGGGCCCAGAACTGAACCCCCTCACCGAGGGGCGGCCTCCCCAGTGCCGAGTCCAGGGCTCAGGTCCCTTCCCTGTCCCTGCTGCCCACGCCAGTGCTGACACCAGCCAGGATGCCGTTGCCCTCCTTGGCCCCCTGGGCACACTCTGGCTCATTCTCACCCCCCCAGTCCCTCTCTGACCGGCAGCTCTCCAGCCACTCCTCCCCAGGCCTGGAGCCCCCCTGGGGGTTGTTGTGGCCCAAGGGCAGCCCCCGGCATTTGCCCTCAGTGAAACTCCCCCAGTTGGGCCCAGCCCATGGCTCCAGCCTGGCCAGATTTTTCTGTAATATCTATGAGATTCGCTCAGATTATATCAGGCCTTAGATTATGACATTTATAGAATGAAAATTAATTAATAACACCTATGTGCCAAGTCATGCATTGATTGCTGCATCACAACAGTGAGCTTCCCTGAAAAAAAAGTGAACATCCACCTAGGAGCCCAACATAAAACAAGATCAGAGCCCGCTGCAATCCCAGCTCTAGGCTGTACTGCAGGAGGCTGAGCAGGACCATGAAGATCCCAGCCAGAAATCCAGTAAGTTCACTTGGAAAGGATGACTTTGAAGTCCTACCTTTTGAGAACCTCTTTAATTTATCTGGCACCCAACGGGTGCTTTTCAACTCTTCCAATACAAACACCGGTCTAAGCAAAATTTACCTTTTAGATTTCATTTGCTCTCGCAGTTTGCTGTACATCTCCAGGACTGGAAAAAAAAAGAAAACACACAAGCATTGAGACACAAGCACAAAGCAAAGAGATGTGAATTCAAATAAACAGCTGTACAAATAAAGAACAATTTTGGATTCCTCACCAGGAAGACACAGCGTTAGCTTATCAACCGTCGCTGAAATATTCCTCTGTTGTAACCGGCATTGCTTCAGCTCTTCCATTGCTATTATCAACTTTGGAAAAGAAAAGAAAAAAAAAAAAGTTTCACTAAGAACACTGTAACAGATGGAGCAGAGAGGATGTAAACTGCTTCGCACTTGTCATGACCATCCGAGCAGTAGGCTGACAGCAGAGCCTGCTCCGATAAGCGCCGAGCTCACCGAGTGCTGCGGAGCGTTGCTGGAGCAGGGAGGACTGGCAGCTTCGGGTTGTTTCATCAAGTAGCAAAAGCATTCCCGAGCCTAATTACAAGTAAGCAAGCAGCAAAACCAAAGCCGTCAAAATACCAGCCTTGTAACACGTCCTGCGAATTCCAAAAATGATTTCCCTCTCCTATTTTATTCATCTCTTCCCTACTCCCTCTCCAAGCTTCTCTTTTCTAGTTCTTCTCAAAGACAGGATGTGGCCACTCACTCCCAGGGGGATTCTTACCATCACAAACTAACAAGGGTTTTTAAACGCTCAGCCTCCAACAGAAAAACCTGGGCATCTGCACGGGGGCAAAACAAGGATCAGCCATCGCATACAACAAGAAAACGCTTTAGTTTCCTTTTTTTTCGAAGGGGAAGGTCATGGATTTGTCCTCTAGTGTACCAACTTGTCTCCACAGCACCACTCTGAGATTGCAAAGTCCTTTTGAAATCCCAGGCTCTTCCAGTCCTGGAGGTGAATTCTCCATTCAAGGTAACCCGGAGGTATGTTTATTTGATTCAGGAAGAAGCTGCATCACCTCCACCCCAACGGGCATTTTAATCTTTCACCTTTGTTGGTCTGACTCATTCCAACATGGGGATTTTCTCATTTGTTTTTCAAACACAATGCAGCTGACTGAAATACTAATGCCTGCGTGCACTCAGCAAAACGAAGCCTAGCGGGTATCTGAGAGGGTAGTTAAGGAGGAAACTAAAAAAGGTGCAAAGAGGAGAAGATTTATATAGACTGTGGGTAGAGCAATGCAAGAAGTCCCTGAGAACACACATATCCCCATCTCAGAGGCATTTGAAAACCTTCAAGCATCAGCACCTTCAGGCACGCTCAGCTCTGAGACCCTCCAGTCTGTTACTGTTCCCTTAGACAGGGCAGAAGAATGAATGTGCTTCGGGGCACAGCACATCTGAGACACACTCAGCCGCTTCCCTTCTGTCCCTGCCTCGATGCCTCCACCTGGGCAGTAAAAACCCCACCGTGATTTAACTGCTGCTGTACTGCACTGTGAAGCAGAAGCCAGACTCTGCACATCCTATTCACGGAATCCCAGAGTGGTTTTGGTGGGAAGGGGTTTTAAAGATCACCCAGTCCCACCCCCTGCCCCCGGCAGGGCCACCTTCCCCCAGCCCAGGTTGCCCAAAGCCCCGTCCAACCTGGCCTTGAACCCTTCCAGGGAGGGGGCAGCCACAGCTTCTCTGGGCAGCCTGTGCCAGGGCCTCACCCCCCTCACAGGGAACAATTTCTGCCTTAGATCTGATCTAAATCTCCCCTCTGTCAGTTTAACCCCGTTCCCCCTCGTCCTATCCCTCCCCCTGATGACGAGTCCCTCCCCCCTTTCCCGCAGCCCCTTTCAGCCCTGGGGGGCCGCTCTAAGGTCTCCCCGGATCCTTCTCTCCTCCAGCTGAACCCCCCAACTCTCCCAGCCTGTCCTCACAGGGGGGCTCCAGCCCCCCGAGCATCTCCGTGGCCTCCTCTGGCCCCGCTCCAGCAGGTCCGTGTCCTTCTGCTGTTGGTGCCCCAGAGCTGGACCCAGCCCTGCAGGGGGGTCTCCCAGAGCGGAGCAGAGGGGGAGAATCCCCCCCTGGCCCTGTGCCCACACTGCTCGGGGTGCAGTATTGTTACAGATGATCCCAGTGACACCACTCATGGCTGCAGGAGCAAGGCCACAACTTGGTTATCGTTGCTTCAAGTCTCTCCTGCTTCTCAGGCTTTGCCATCCACTAGCTTTCAGTCTACGAGCAGTAAAAAAGAAAGATCACTTCCCAACACTCTTGCACAACTCATCATTTGTGCAGAAAAGCAAAATACAGGTAAGAAAAATCAAGACACGTTTTAATAGCAATGCTGTGTGTATTATCAGTTAATGCTGAGCAGTTACTGATGCTCAGTGTAAACTGCCGCTAGCAAGCAGCCAAATAATGGAAAATCAAAAAATCAGAAAACAAATAAAAGTATCACTCACTTCTTTTCCTTCATTCTGCAGCTTTCGGTTGGTGTCCGTCACTTGATTCTGTGGGGATATTGGGGAAAAAAAGACAAAGCACAACTACGTGTAAGTCAGGACAATGTTTTTCACAAAAATAAAGAAATTGTACGTAAACACCATCACTTTTCACACAGTCTTCTCTTGCATGGCGTAAACCTGCTGATTGAACGGTCACTGCCATTCTGGCACATGGGATGCCCACAGCCACACAACAAATATCACAGACTTTCTTCCCTGCTACTAGAAAAAAGTAAAAGGCAACAGCAGTTAATGCTGTTGCATGGCAGCCTCAAAATGCTGCAGTCACGGCAGATGATCACATGGGTTCTCAAAGCTATTTCACTTGAGTGGTAGAGGAATTAAATTTCCCTTCCCCACTACCAAACAGATCACAATTATGTTTTAAAGCCTTAAGATCACAACAAGATCAGAACTCTTCAGCATGGGCTTTACCTAGAAAGTTCAATTTTTTTTTTTTCAGATCTTCAGATACATCACTCACCGGATCCCTCCTTCTGGCTGGTATACAAAGGTTTTTTTTACATACCTGGTATACACCTGGTATTTAAAAAAGATACGTATTTTCTTTATTAAACCATCTTTCTGTATTATCCTATCAAACTGGGACTCACAGTTCAAAAACTTCCCGCTTTGCAACCTTGTATGTTCCCTGGACTAGCAAGGTCACAATAGTTCAGCCTTTCACAGCTCTAGGCATCAGTCTGACTCAGCTAAGATACACACGAGAACAAAGCGGATTCTTAGACTCATCAGGATAGAAAAATAAGCAGCTCACACATTATTTAGACAACAAGTGGAAAGATGACTTTGGGAATTCTCTTGAATACTCAGTTCAAGTTCAGACAGGAGGTTTGTAAATAGAGATAACCATCTTCTACAGACCAGCTGGGAGAGCCAAAAAAAAAAACCACCAAACTTTCAAGTAAACATGACCAGTTTCAGGTCTTGAGCAAAAGCAGAGAATTACAAAGGTAAATACCAGCAGAGAAGGACTGCTCAGAGTTCAGGTGCTTCACATCAGTCTGAGACTAACATGCCATAAAACTACTTTTTTTTTTTTTTTTTTTTTTTTTTTTTTTTTTTTCCTTCCTGCAGAATACTCTTTTCACAGCTACTAAGTTGTAAATATTCATTTCCAGGCTCGTCTCTGTAAGATGTCTGAGAGGTTTCTAGCTTTACTCAGGCTTACTGTGCAGTGGAAGCTGCTGCTGGATTTCAGCCGGCATCATCAAATTTTATGAACTGGTTCCTGTGTGTTTTCAGTTCTGTTCATTCTACAGACAAAATCAGTAACAGAGCTTGGACAACAGCATGAGCTGCGACACGGAGCTCTCAAAATTTATTCAGGAGCGTAAGATCACACAAACCAACTTGAGTTTCCTAATGCTTTCCAACAATTGCAGAGACAAGCTGACTTCTGAATGAATTTATCACTGCTGAAGGAATTTGTCATTTGATGCTCTCCAGTTACCCAACAGAACGTGGACGGTGCACAGAGCAGCAGCAATAGTGAGGCAGGACAAGCTTTGAGGTGGATTCAGAAACGAACAGCTAATTCTCTCCTTTCTGAGCACACCATGGGGTGACCAGTTCAGCAAGGAGGGCAGCTTTGTGTTCACATATATAAAACTGATTTAGGACCCAAGTTTGTTTCCTGATGACTATCAAAAGATACAGGGTGACAATGATCCACACTGGCTCAAACTTCACCAAGAGGTCTCACATCAAGAGAGAGCAGAGCCATCCAGCCTCACGGGCTTCCTTTTGTTTTAAACACTGGCCATGCTGGTTTTTAAGCTCACCATGATGCAAGAAGAGGAGTCATCCCATCATCTCCCTGCACACAATTTCTCTACAGCATCTGCATCACATTTCTCCCCCTTCTGCAGTAGCTTCAGCTCTCCTGGCTGCTTGCCCTGTACAAAAACTGCTCATTTCCTTTATGATGTATTGAGATTTTATGAGCAGGAGCACAGCATCTCTTCCAAAGATTATTTTATTTGCTTATATCCTGAAAATCCCCCCAGGAAAAAGGAATCCATGTAGGGTAATTTAAAACTGCTCCTAAAATAATGCCAAGGCTGTACTAGTCTTCTATTAAAATTACATATCAATCCCAGCTAAAGCAAAAAAGTAAAAATATATTCTTACACACTAGGAGTTTTCAGGGGGTGGGAAGTTGTGTTTTGTTTTGTTCTTAAGGTCTACATCCACACGGTGGAAAAAAAATAGATGATTGAGTCTCTGCAGACACGTTGAAGCTTTTCAGACGAGGAGATTTTATAATGCAAGACAGACGCACAGCAAGGGGGGGGACAGACAACAGGTGGGCACATGTGAAGAACGAGACGACGGGATCACCCAAGGGGCTTACGGGATGCTCAAGCAGTTCATTCATTCATCTATATACGGAACATGTGGTACGGAGCAGGGCTTAGGTGTGGGGAGGGGAGGTTAAACATCACTCTGCCATCATTTAGAGAGTGTCAGAGTGATGAGAGAGGGGAGCAAAGGGCTCTGGAGAGGAATCCTGAGAATGAGCCCAGAGGGCACCACCGTGACCCCACGCAGCTCTGCCGACTCCGTCCCTCTATCCAACACCCACACACCACTGATTTCCAACCCCCCAGGAGAGGGAGGGTGACTGCAGCGATCCTTCAGGTCAGCAATTCATGAACTTCCCAGGCTGGAGGGTGCACCCAAAGATGGGGTTCGTTACTCCCCCCCTACAGGGATCTGCCCTACGTTGAGCTTTTAGGTCATCACCGCACCCCTGGCGGGGGGAAGATCCCCCGTCTTGGTTTCACAGGGGTGAAGGCGAGCTTCCCTTCACTCAAAGCCCGTTGCCTCAATTTAAATATACCTGCCTTAATCTGAATGCACTGAGCAATAGAAACTGCTTCCTAGTCATTCTCTCTCCCCTAACCTCATAACTTCACAGATCTTACGACTGCGTGCAGCAGCACCGCGCGTGTCGGCAGGGAGGGTTAGAATTGCAGTTGTCTTTTCAGAGGAAGGGTTTTTTTATTAATTGCCATTCAACAGCGGCAGGTGTGAAGTCCTACATTTGGGCAGAGATAATGAGCTGCACAAAGCAAGGCCAGTGACTCCACAGTAGCTCTTTGAAAAGGGACCCGGTGATCACAGTCCATCAAACTGCAAAACAGCGCCAGGGCTCTGCTGTTACTGAGAAAGCGAGTGTCACACGAGGAGACAAGAACAAAATCCTGAAACAACCCTTCTACACCCTTTCACCGGTGACCGACTGCTCTGCCCCAGCTTAAAAATCACAATTAGCACTGAAAAAAAAAAAAACAACACACCAAACCCTATCAACTGGAAGGACTTCAGAATAGGAAAGTAAAAATAGTTGAGATGCCTAGACAGCACAACCGTCTACGATGGACTGGGGCTACCTGAGAAGAACATTCCTCCAACCCCTAACCTGTAGAAGACTGCTGCAAAACCAAGAAGGAATAATCTCTCTTTTGTGTCTGACAGGTCAAAAAGCAATAGACCTAAAAAAGACTTTCCAGCCGTGTCCCCTGATTTTCCTAGAGAAGGAAGACAGCAGGACCTAACACCAGAAGAGGTTAGAAAAAATCCATCAGGAATGACACAGATGGAGAACTTCTTGCTTATCAGAAAAGAGATGGACTAGGTGATTTCCTGAGGTTGCCACCAGCCCTGCGACTCTGTAATCCTTTCCCCTTCACACCTCAAGTTGGGTTTTCCAACCACCCCAATGCATAATCTACCTTCGACCTTTACAGATGGAACAGCCAGACTGGTATGTGTTTCAAACCCAGCAGCACCATCCATTTATAGGTATGAGAACAGGGCACCACTGCTCACTTCCTAACGAGGATAACATTTGTGCAGTACAAGGTATTGAAAACGTTGAAGATGTATAACACAAAAAAAAAAAACCCCACACACCCAAAGCAACAAGATTTTCCTTGGAAGCCATGTGAGAAATTCAAGTGAACTGCCACAGTGAAGCTATATAGTTAAAAAAACAAAGAATACGCAAATACCAAAAAAAGTTTTGGTTTAAAAAAATGTTATGGATTAAATATCCAAATTAAGGAGGTGCCTTTTTGAAAATATATCCCATGTATTTCCAATTAACTCTTCCATATAGATGATTAATCGTTGACCCAGCGTCTCTTGAAAGCAACACAGAGTTGCCTAGTGCAGAAATTCCTTGCAGAGGAACTCCTCTGCTGATGGAGATCAAGTTCCCAGATGGGTGCCAGCCCTTCGCAGGGCACCCAAGCAGGACAGAAGGCTTATGTCTTCCAGTCCTGAGCAGGTTTTAAGTTGATTTGGGGCCACCTGAAAACCAGCATGGCGGTACAGAGGGAGGACAGCAGCTGGGTTGCACATGACAGGGGAAGATCATCCAGCTCATATTTAGCATGTGCACTCTTAAAAACAATGAATGCTGGTAGTTCTGCAAGCATGATGTTATATAAAATACCCCAAAGCTAAAAGCACACGAGTGAAAATACACACTAGAGATGCAACAGGGAGGGCATTTATTTTATTGCTGGTTGCACGTATGTTCAAAGACCAGTGCTATTGAGAAAAAGACCAAGATCAAATAGAGAATGAATAGCTGGAACAAAATGCACTCTCACCACTGGACCCACGGATGATTCCCTGGGGAAACCCTTACAAAGAGGGCTCGGTATTTCTCAAATAAGCTTCTGTGTATATTTTTCCCATGTGCAGTTTTATAGATCACATAGTGATGGAAATCAAGAGAGATCCTGAGGGTACAGAGATGGACTTCACAGTGTGCCACCAACAAAGTAGCTGTTTGTAGAATGGGAAACAGCAACAAGGCTTCGCAAACAAACAATGTGGAATTCTTGGCTACAAACAATGGCTTTCAAAAAAAAAAAAAAAAAGACAATTTCTTTCATGGTATTTCCAATGGCCTCATCCTGGATGAATCCTCGCCATGGAAAATGCAGTTGTAATAATAACAGGGGTGCTTCTGGTGTCAGGACACCCCCCTCCGAAGGTGATCCCCAGAGCACGTGTCCGTTCGTGGGATGGAGCCCGGTGTGTGTGAAGTTTAAAACGCTTGCTAGGAAATGCCAGAAGTAGCTTTAAATGAATCAACAAACATATGAAAAGCAGCAGTCAGCATACCGAAGATAGAGTTCTTCCTTCTTTTCCAGAAAATTTGCTTTTCTGAAATATTTTTTTTCCCCCCCTAGTTTATAGTTTCATCTTTCCTAACGCTCGTTGAACAGTCTCCCACGCTCCTGAACTCCCAGAAAGGTTCTTCTCAACCAGCCAGACTCCAACTAGTCAGAAAGCATTGCCATGCTGGTCCCTGGAGACGCTCCACGGATTTTTGAGCGCCACAAAACTCAGCCCCCCTCACTCAAGTGACTGTTCTGGGAGGTTGCTTTTGGTTTTCAAATCAAGGCCACACCTTGCTGCTGCAGCACGGGAGGTCACAGTCGCCCCTGCCTCTGCTCTAACTCGTGTAGGAAAACAAGGAAGGTTCTCTGACACAGATTAAGTCACTGCTGTGCCCCAGATTCTATTTATACAATGAATACCTGTACTTTAAGGCACAGCAGCCAACCTTAAACTGCAAGCCCAACCTGCCCTTACGTGTAGGAACACCTCCGACCTTTAGGTCCTTTTTCTCCCCAAAGGCCTGCCCAGTTTCCTTCTCACAGCTTCTCTACATTCTCAACCTACAAATGGCTTTTTCCATTCTCCAAGAAATAGCTAAATTCCACCTTTCTCTCATCTTCCTTGCAAAGCCCGTTCCTAGCTGGAACCATTTTACTTTCTCCATTCCCAGCTCTAACCATTTTACCTTCTAGTTAAGCCAACCAAACCCAGAGATGCTACTGGAACAGAATCAAGCTGTATGTTTGCTTACACAGTCTTTTAATATTTAGTGAAATTAGTAGTTACTTTTCACTACTGAGTATCTTATAACGCTCTGAAGTTCACTTGTTTTTTAAACATTAACATTCCACTCGCCAACACTGGGCAGGCACCTCATGACTGCAGAGTCAAATCTTTGCTGATTTGTCTCAGACACAACAGTACCTGGAATGAGAATTCAATGTCAGACGAGACACTAGAGTATATGCTGCTACAGCAGACACACTTCTGGCTGTAGAGCTTATTTTTGCTTAAGAAATTGGTATAAGGTATACCAGGAAAAGCACGTTTCCTAATGCAGAACAGGTTTAAAGTTTTCTTGTGCTTTTAACTGTTCGAGTTTGCCCAAATAATTTTCAAACTTCACATGACTAACCTATTGCTACAGGAAGAATGAAGATATGTGTATTTTTATTATTATTTTTAGATAGAGGAGAGATGCTCCAGACAAACGGAGCAAAGGGGACATTCACACAGTTTCAGAATCCCGGAGTGGTTGAGGTTGGGTCACTCAGCCCAAGCCCCCTGCTCAAGCAGGGCGACCTAGAGAGAGGTGCTCAAGACCATGTCTAGATGGTGTTCTCTTACCTTCAGTTTTTGAGCTTCTCCTCTAACTTTCAGCAGCTCTGTGATGGAGTCCACAAAGCCCTGGTAATGGAAGTTGCACATTTTCTCAATCTCACGATCGTGGTTTCTGATTCGTGCTTCCAGCTTCTCCATGAAACGACCATGTTCTTCTCCATCATAGACAGACCTAAAAAGAAGATGCCAATGTCGGTCAAGATTCTGATAGCTGATACTGTTGTTACTTACAAGAAATATCCAAAACTTAAAAAGAAAAAACAAACCTTCTGTGATAAAGGGATAGTTCTGCTTTTTATTAGCATACACCGGGCACCAAACTCAGGTCTGCAAACCTCTCTATTCCAGCCCTTGTTTTTCTTTTTCCACCTGTCAAACACCAGCTTGATGTTCCCTCAGAGACCGCAACACGGCCAACCCAGCGCTGAATCATCCCAAGCAAAGTCTTCGTGCTCTGTCTTTGAGCTCAGCCGTCTCTGATCACTATCTGCTGTCGGATGCTGTAACACTGAGGACAATTTTCCGGACATTCTTTGGGCTTCAAGAGTAAAAGCTACAATGGAAAAGTATCCTTTCTAGAGCTGCCAAAATCCATTTCCCTTCCCACCCCCAATTTTGCCAGCGCAGTCAGTTCTGTTGCTGAAAGGGCAACACTGCTGAAAACTACCCGAAGCGATGGGGACACCTCAAACCAAGGGACAGCGCACACTGTGCAAGCTGCAGGGAACAGAGAATCTCTGGTACAACCAAACAAAAACACTAGTGCTAAATTTAAGGTGGAAGTTAAAAAAAAAAAATCTATCATTTGTATTTTCTTAAATTCCACCCAACTGGCAAGAGAAGCTTGAATTGCCACGTGAAAACACTTTTTGTTCTGTCCGTTACCAACACACAGAGTCTGGTAAGGATGATTAGTTCCAACCGTTTTGTAAAGCAGCCTAGAAGGCGACTCTCTCATCTGCAGAAAGAGCCACTGTGCAAAAGCAATAGATCATGACTGCAAAGTAAGCAAATCTTATTCTAGAAAGCAGAGGGATTTTGTCACACCCTGAAATGGTATGGGGTTTTCAGGGGGTTGTTTTCTTGGGGGTTTTTTATAGTAAACATAAATATTTTCGACAGAGTGTGGAAATCCCACCCTTAGACTTGTCTTTGGGAAGTTTTAGTATTTTGAGGAGCAGTGCTAACTCCTAAACCTGAATACTCTCCCAGGCTGAAAAAAATTCAGTATGCAGTGAGCTTTACGGAGTCTGAGCTTGTGCTGTGTCAGAAAGTAAGGGTAAATTAATTATGCACTGGACTCTATAGAGCAATTAGAGAATAAAAGATGGGGAATGACAGCTGTAACAAGTTGTAAGAATTTATTTTTTTGTTAAATTACTAATTGCAGCAGTGACAAGCAACACTTCAAAAAGAACTACAAGGAGATGAATCCAACTGGACAGGTTAAATCCTTCTGTCTGCAGAAACTGATGTGATCCTTTGATGTGATCTGTGCCGACAAATCACTTTGGAGAACCTGACCTCCACAACCCACAAAGGTCTCAATAACAAAATCCTAACACAGGAGTAAAGCTGGAGGAAATCTATTTAATTATCATTCTTTAAAACCTGCTTTGGCAATTTCAGTTATATAACTGCAGTAAACCATTCTCAATGGCAAAACAAAAATGCCAAATCTTTATAAACCTATTTAAACCAATGTAAAATAACACAGTCACCACGAAGTCTTCAAAGCCTTCTTCATTCCAAAGTAGAAGCTGGCTGATGCTAAAGGTGAAAAAGAGATATAACTTCCTCAAATTATATGAATGCCACCACTAGCATGATGCTAAGTAGGTTTTTTTTTTTCCTTAGAGTTTAGCAGAGTTTTGCGGGTGAAATACGAAATTTGGAGACAGAGTGCCATCTAGTGCTGCACAGCCTCTCTGCAGGGTCTCATGAAAAGGCACCTCCACTCCAACGAGCTCTTAATTCAATGATAACTCACACACGGTAAGCAAATAAAGCTAGACAAGTTGTGCTTTCATGCAAGTATAAATTTTTAAAAAACAACCTCAAAAGTAATTATGGGTGCCAAATAAACGTGCTTGCAGTCAAAGGAAAATACGTTCGGCATTTACAGAGGACCTACTAATGGGAAAAAGAAAAACCTCAAAATTACTTCCAAACTCTAGGCCATCAGACCTTTATGTCTTAAGTTAGGTTAACCCTCTCCAGGTTGACTAAGACAAAAAGGTCTGATGTCCTTTTATTTTTCTTTTTAGTCAAACTCTAGCATTAAAAGAAAAAGTTGGTGACAGGCAGCAAAGAAAACCCAGTTTCTTAGGGCTCAGCTCTAAACTTGTATTTAAACAAGCTCTGTAACTTCCTTTCTGAGGTCTCTTATTCATCCACAACTCCTCCTCCAATGCACAACCAGCATCCTTCACTTCCATCCTCCCTCTAAAACACAAGCAAATGGGCAACAGCCAAGCAAGACCCAGAGCAAACCTCAGTGTACTCCAAGGTTACGGGATGTGAAGGTCTTGCTCTGGATTGAACATCACCACATAAGATGACTACAGGGACTATGCTGTGACACTTCCCTCAAAAAAACCCAATGTAGGGACTCAGTCTGATTGCAAGAAGAACAAATCCCTCCCCTGCAATCATGTCAAAATGCCCCACAAGTCCAAAACTCTACCATCATCATCATCTTCAGTTCCCTGGCTCTCGTAAAGGTCCAAATTCTTCAAGGTGTTTCTTCAGCTGCCCGAGCTACAGCATTAGTTTTGGAAAACCACCCCTGTGATCCCATGTTCTTGACATATATGAACTGTTACCAAAGCACTGCCAGCTGTCTCAAGACCAACTGTGCTTCTTATCTGATCCTCTCAACCAAGCACCTTCATTACATATTTCTTCCTTTTCAGGATTACCACACCTGAGGCATTATACATCTCACTCCCTCCTGCCAGACCTTCCGGATACCCACTGGCTTGGCTCTGGATCTACAGGTCTCTCCAGTTGCTTCCCTTCACCTCATTTCTTCTGCCTAGATACTCTGCTTCTAGAAACAGGGACAGGGAAGGGATCTGAGCCCTGGGCTCGGCACTGGGGAGGCCGCCCCTCGCTGAGGGGGTTCAGTGTTGGGCCCCTCACCCCAAAAAGGCCATTGAATGACTCGAGCGTGGCCAGAGAAGGGCAACGGAGCTGGGGCAGGGTCTGGAGCACAGGTCTGCTGGGGAGCGGCTGGGGGAACTGGGGGGGTTCAGTCTGGAGAAGAGGAGGCTGAGGGGAGACCTCCTGGCCCTCGGCAACTCCCTGCCAGGAGGGGGCAGAGAGGGGGGATGAGTCTCTGGAGCCAAGGAGCCAGCGCCAGGCCCCGAGGGAATGGCCTCAAGCTGCCCAGGGCAGGGTCAGGCTGGCTCTGAGGAAGGATTTCTGTGCAGAAGGGGCTGTTGGGC